GAGACAAGGCCTTGATAAGGGGAGGCATGGCTCTAGCCCAGGGCCCTGAGCCTCTGGGAAAACCTGCTTAGAGGTCTGACGGCCCTGAGTCCCTGACACAGGGGTGCCCTGTCCTGCTCTGGGCCTGATCCCTCACCCCGTGTGGCTCAGCCCCCCCTCCCCACAGGACTCTGTTCAGTCTTCCCAGGACTGCTCCTGCCACCCCAGCGGGGCAGCAAGGTGAGCCCTGGTGGAACGTGCTCTGAGTAGGAAAGGAAGACCAGAAGCAACAGAGCCCCAGGCCTCTGGAAAACGGGAGGACTTGCTACAGTTTGTGATATGGCCACCTGTCCTAGTCCGGGGAAGGAAGGTGGATAGCTGCCCCCACCCCCCGCCCAGGTCTTCTCTGAGGACCAAGTTTCCTTCACCCTCACCCCCGACCCCAAAACAGACTCCAGAGTCCCCACCCCAGTGGCATTCCATCTGGCCCAGCACCCCAGCTCCCGGCCCCCTAGGGTGAAACAGCCGCTGTTGTTTACCGTGCTTTGACAATAGTGCTCTGTGGTCTGGAACACCCCACTGTGTGTCTGCACCCCACGCCTGCCCCAGTCCGTGCCAGCCTCCACCACCACCCCCCCGAGCCAGGATCCAGCCAGCCTAGGGCTAGCCAAGGAGGCACCACGGACACCCACAGGGCTGGGGACAGGCACCTATGCCACACACATGTTCCTAGAGCAAGGGTGGCTGCATGCAAGTGGCGGTGCAGGTGGCCAGGGTCATAGCCATGGTACCAGCCCCACCCACACCCGCCCTGCCACTGGGCACCTCCACCGTGTAACTGCAGCAACAGGCCAGGGCTACCTCCTCATTGCTATAGCAACGGCCGCGCAGGAGCTGCTGGGAGGAGGGAAGCCTGCTTGGCGGGCGGGCGGGCGGGCAGGCGGCCAGAGGGGCATCTGGTTACAGGCAGGCAGCACAGGTTCGGCCCTACCTGGGAGCCCCACCTGGACACCCCATGGCGGCCTGCAGGGTGGTCAAACCCTGGTCCCTCAGGGGTAGCCCAGCGCCCCCATGGTGTCCCAGGGCCTGAGGGCCCACTCCAGGCCTGAGCCACCTCCTGCTATGTCAAGGGGAGAAGAGAGGAGAACTGAACACGAAAGAGCCTCTCAACCCAGCGATGAGGCCACAGCAGCCCCAAAGTCGACCTCTGCCCAGCTCAGAGGGGACAGGCGACACTCAGAGATGAAGAAAGACAGATACAGAGGTCTTTGGTTCCTACTCTCCAAACCAAACTTTCAGGAGGCGCACTCTGACCCCCAGAGAAGTACACAGCCTGCAGGGCAAAATGTCTCTTGGCTAAGCCCACAGGTCTAACTCTGAAGCCCAAGACCCTCCTGGGAAAGTAGGGGGGCCAGCAAGAGTGTGCCAGGCATCTGGCCAGCCCTAGCCCCAGCCCCATGGACAAGCCCAGCAAGGCCTTAGCCCCCGTGAAGGAAGAATTTCGGATTTGCTGGGGTCTTGGGCCAAGGTCCTCCATACAGCCTACCCAGTTCCTGGTACTGCTGCTGCATACATGGGCCCAAGGAGATTCTAGGGAAGACCAACGTAGCAGGTGGGGGCTGCTCCCGGGTGTCTGGCAGTAGACAGCTCCCACCTGTTTGCCAGGTGCCCCACAGGCCACTGCTCCTTCTCTGAGCCTTGAGATCCCCCGGGGATTTAGGGGCCATCATCCCAGCCTCTGCTCCCAGCCCCTGGGGGCTCTTAACTGCCAAGAACCCTGGGACTAATACTAATGGTGCCCAGATTCCAATCCCCTTTTCCTCCTCTGAGCCCTGCCCTGGTGTCCCCGGTAACCTGAAATCAGAACCAGGGGGAGCTGCACCAGAGGCCACAGCCCTGATCCATGGGACCCAGTGCCAGCCAGACCCAGGCACGTGGGCAGGGAGTGTACTCAACCCTGGTTCCCCACCAGGCTCAGGTGCCTGGGGGACTCCTGCCAGGCCACAGTAATGACGTCCACCCTGCCCTGTTTGCAGTCCCGGGCTTCTCATTATGCACTTCAAAGCCCTTCTCAAGGAGAGACCCTGGCAAGAGCTCATCAGCCCAAGGGGACTCAGAGCCAGGTGGCAAAAGAGCCTCTCAGGCCCCAGGTGGGCCAGAGGATGCTTTGTCCTCAGGCCCCAGATCTGGACCCCAGCCTGCTTGGGGCCTCGGTGTGGAAAATTCCCAGGGCCCATTCAGAAACCCCAGCTGTCCAGGCCTCTCGATGGTCTATGTGCTGCTGTCAGGACATCAGGACAACAGGAGATGCCCCTGCCCTTCCCAGAGCAAGCGTGGCAAGGGCCAGCGTGATGACATCCATACCGACCCAGGCTGGCTTCTGTCCCTGACAGCTGCTGTGGCCCGCACCCTCAGGCCCCTGGCTGCCCCAGGCACAGGGCAGAGAGCTGGGGTGCTTGGTACTCACAGCTCCAAACAGCAGGACCTGGCTCCCAGAGGGGGCTGGGGTTGGGGAGGTCAGCCTCAGGAAGGACTGCCCCAAAGGACAAAAGGGTACAGGGATGCAGCCTAATCCATGCTGGCCCAGCAAGGACATTCTCCTTGATGAGAGAGCAGGAGCAAGGGCCAGCGGACTTGCGGGAAGGCGGAGGAGGAGGAGGAGGAGGAGGAGGAGGAGGAGGAGGAGGAGGAGGAGGAGGAGGAGGAGAGGATGAGGAGGAGGAGGAGGAGGAGGAGGAAGAGGAGTGTCTGCCCAAGGGCAGAAGGGTGGTGCAGGGAGGAAGAGGCAGGGTCCCTGCAGGGACTCCAGGGGGGCTGAGCACAGAAACCAAGGACTTTCATAGTTAGGAAGAGTCCACCATATCAGCCCTCTGTTCGTCTCCGGAACCAGGGCCTCCCGCGACCCCAGGGTCCTGGGGCCGCTCGGCCCCCCTACTCGTGCGGCTGGCCCCAAAGCGGGCGCGGCGCGGGGCACCCATCCCGTGACTCAGCCGAGCACCGCGAATGTCAGCGGGCGCGGGCCGCGGCCCGCGGGCCGAGCCGGTCCCCGGAGACCAGAGGCTGCAGCAGGCAAGGGCGGGCGGGGTCCCGCGCCCGCCCGGGGTCTGCGCGCGCCCGGCCCGGCCACACGTGCGCGCGGAAAGCGCGCCGCTGGCCCCAATGCGCGCGACCTCGGGGTGGGGTGGGGGGCAGGCCGGGAGGCGCGCGGGTCGCTCACCGGGCTCCGGCGCTTCAGCGTCACGTTCTTCCAGAGCAGCAGCTGCAGCTGGTGCAGGAAGCCCATGGCGGGGCCGCTCTCCGGCCGCCTTCGCGCCGCTGCCCGCTCCTCTGCGCGCCCCACCGGCCCCGCCGCCCGCCGCGCCGCTCGGCATCGCCCGCGCGGGGCGGGGCCTCGAGCGTCCGGGACCGGCTCGGCGCTGGCTCCGCCCCGGCGGCCGCGGTGACAGCCACTCGCCCCGCCCCCGCTTAAAGGCGCCGCGCCGCATCCGGAGACCCCGCCGCGTTGCCAGGCGATTCCTGCAGCTCCACCCCTCCATCGCTCCGAGCGTCGAAGTGACTTGCACACAGCTTCCCTCTAAACCCCGGACTTACGCCCTCTAGGGCGCTCGGGGGCCCCTGGCCGGCGCGCAGCAGCCCCTCTCCCCCGTGGAATCCTCACGCAGAGGCGCCCCGAGGGGATGCCGAGGGGGTGCAGCACCTCCACCCGCCCACGCAGCAGTGGACGTCAGAGCCAGGGCTCCGGGGCCCCAGGGTCACTGCCGGGCTGGAAAGGTGTAGCCGCCCACACGTGGGGACCCGGGGATCCCACCTGTGCAGGGCGGGCAATGTCTGTCCTCAAGTCTTCAAGAATCAGCAACCTGGCCCGACCAGGTGCTTCCTGGCCCCCCCGCGTCTTAAGGGAGGGGATGGGCGCTTGTGAGGGTGCTGCAGGGGACTGTCCCACCGTTGTGAGACTTTCCTGGGTGCATCCTGAGTGAGCCACTTGGTGACCGAGTGGCAGGACAGGCCTGGTGGGGCTCAAGCCCAGGACAGCTGATCCCTGCAGGTGGGGTGGACAGAGTGCTTGAGGAAACAGGCTGCCCCCTGGGGTGGGAGTTCACTCTTCTCCCCAGATCCCACCGGCTCTGGCCCCTGCAGATGGGAGTCTGTGGGCAGTGAATTCAGGAGGGCCAGGCTGCAGCTCCCAGGGTGGCCAGCAGAGGACAGCAGATGGCAGGGGACCCTGGTGGGTGGCTCGGATGGCTTTGCCCCAATCTCAGTCTCCCCACGTGCCCACGGGATGTCCGGTGTCTGGGGTGCACATAGACTGGTCCCTGTGCTGGATGGCAGGCTTTGGGGGATTGCAGCTGCCTGCCCCTTCCCAGCTCCTCCTTCCCAGCGTGGCAGGGCAGAGGGTCAGCATGTGCAGCTAGGTCACAGCAGGAAGTCACTGGCAAGCCTTTCCCACAAGCCACTGTCAAGGGAGGGGGCAGCTTCCTGCCTTCTGGTGCAGCCCACCCCCACCGGGGTAGGGACAAATCCTGACCTCTGCCCCAGGGGCTCAGCCCGTTGGGGCCCCCGCCTGTAGCACCAGCTTCTCCTCTCCTCCCCCAACAGGCAGCCTGCCTTCCCTGGGGGGGGGGCTCCCCTGGCTGCCCATGTGGGCAGAGAGAACCCTACATCACAAACCAGATCCTATCACACCCCAGACACCCCTGCAGCCTGAAAATGAATCCCAGGGCCTCCAGCAAGCTGCACCTTTGAGACCCCAGCCAGGTTTCAGACCTTGGTACCCCCTACTCTGTACCCACCTTGGCCTTTTGGGCGTCAGGGAAGGCCCTTTACTGTCATGCCATTGACTTAGCAGGGGTTGAAGGGAGCTAGGAGCACGGGCCAAGTGGTATGGGAGAGGGTCTCTGGAGCACGGGGCCCAGAGGCCTTGAGGAGAACAGGGCAGTCTGTGTTATAGGGGGGTGAGGTGGCAGGGGGAGGGCAGATGGGCCAACACTCTGCACACATTATTTTGTCCTCTCATTCTTTATTGATCGCTGGCCCTCCCAGAGTGGACTGCAGGGTACAAGAAGGCCAGCATCCTGGCTTGCTTGTCACGGTGTCCCCAGGGCCTTGCACAGGTCGGCACACAGGGGCTCTGGCACTGTGCCTGCACGTCCCCAGCCAAGGGACCTCAGTGACAGAGCAAGTCCTCCCCAGAGGGCATGCCCCCAGCCCTAGGGCCTGGCCTCTGCCCTTTCCCAGCCCAAGTCTGGGAAGAGTTGCTCCACCCGGGGTTTTATCAAGGTGGGGAGGGGGATCCTGAGAGGTCCTGGGGAGCCTGTGTCTTTGATCAACTAGCAAAAAGCATCCCCACTAACTCCCGCCCTCACCTTCCCCTCCAAATGCCTGCCCAGCAGCTTCCTTCTCCCGGCAGCCTGCCCAGACCAGCCCACTTCTCCCTTACCCTTGCTTTCCGGCCTCCAACCCCAGCCTCTGTATTAACCTGATGGTTGCCTGTGGGGGCCGGATGCCTGGTGGTTTGATTTCAACACCCAGCCTTCCACCCACACCACCAGCGCCCGCCACCCTCCTCTGCCTCCCCCTCTGGCCAGAGCTCAGGCTTGGAACCAGCCCTGGAGGTCCTGGTAGACCTGGCCTCGGGGGAGGTGGGGGTAGTGGGTGCAGATGGCGCAGAAGCGCTCCCGCCAGTCCCCAAACAGCCGCACACGGAGCCGGTCTCGCCAGGCGAAATAGCGCCGATAGTGGCTCTCGTTCATGTTAGCCAGGAAGGAGGCCAGCTCTTGGACTGTGCTGAAGTCATCCACATGAACAAAGGCGTCAGCTGGTGCAAAGGCCTCGTACGTGGCCCTCGGGGGCCCCAGCACGACAGGGACCGTGCCGGCTGCCAGCGCGTTGCGCCAGAACTTCTCAGTGATGTAGTCTTGGTGCTGTGAGTTCTCGAAAGACAGGTAGAAGAGGTACTGGGCCACGGTGGGCAGCAGGCAGTTAGTGCACAAGGGCTGCCTGTTGGCGTGGCCGAACACATCCACCTGCAGGTGAGGCGCCAGCTGCCGGTACACCTGGACACGCCGCTGCCGCTCCTGGAAGTTGCTCACCACCCAGGCTGCCACCCTCTTCTTGGCCGGCAGTGGTGGCGCAGGCCCCCGGTGAGGCTCCAGCTGGCCATAGGGCACGAAGATATCCGAGTCACGCCGGTAGCTTAGCACCCAATTAAAGATCCCACCAAGGCGACCAAGGCCGTGGGTGTGGCTGGGTGACTCCATGGAGACCCACACCCAGGGCTGTCCACGTGGGCGCTTGGCCAGAGGCAGACGGGCCTGCTGGGTCTGCAGCTCTCGGTGGTGGAAAACCACAGCATCTGCGCTGGCCAGCAGGCTGTGGTTGGTGCTCAGGTGGCAGTGGGCCACCCCAAAGCTGATGCAGGTGTTGCTGGGAAGCTCTGGGGGCCTGTCGCTGAAGGGCCAGTGCCAGATGAGGATGATGAGTGTGTGCGGGGGCGCAGGGCCTCCGGTGGGGGGTGACCCAAGCAGCCAAAGGAGCCATATGGCAGAAAGCAGGGCGGCTCCGGCCAGGACCCCCACAGCCCGGAGCCTCCGGGAGAGGCTGTACCCTACACGGGACACAGGAGGAGATGCTGTCTTCCCAGGCTTGCCCCAGGGCCCCATTCTCCCACACCTCCCTGGGGACCAGACACTCACCGGCACTGTTCATCTGCAGCACCCAGAATCAGTCACCCGGGGATCTCCAATCACAGCAGCCACTAGGCAGAGGTGCCCTGCAATCACAGCTGCACCCTCATGCGCAGCCCAGCCTAGAGGCCCTGTCCTTTCATCTGCCTAAGATGAGAGAAACCAGGGTATCTTCCTGCTGCTGCCCCGCCCCTGCCCCCGCCCTGGAGGTGAATTTTGGCATCCACTACCATCCTCACTCCACCTCCCACCCCAGGCCTCCAGTTGCTGGGGCACCATCTGGAGTCCAATATCATGCCCCCCCCCCCCCCGGCCTCTGAAGGGGCCTGGGGATGACCTGCTGGGCAGGGGCAGAACAAGGCGAGGCCACCCTAGGTGGAGGTGGCCCCCTCCCCAGAAGGATACCCTGGATGTAAGGACCCAGTCCTTGCCCACCCCCCAGGGCACACTTCCCTGGCAGGCGGCACAGAGCCCCAGGCCAGAGCTGCCCTCCCGAGGTGGTGTCACCCACTTCCCCTGCTCAAGGCTTGCTCGGCCACGGCCCCCAGAACCTCATGCCGCAGCTGTGCTGAGCTCGGCCATCTGCCAAGAGGCTGAGGTTTCTCCCTTGGCTTCTAGTTGGGTAGCCCACCCCACCTGCCCCCTGGCAGCTCTAGGACACCTTGTCCTGGAGCCCAGATTCCCAGAGAAGGGGTCTCTGTGCCGGGGCCCACATGAGGCCACAACACGTGTCCCAGGCCCAGCCTGGGCCTGGCCGCAGGGGGGCTGCAGGGCCCTTTTGCTTTCTTTCCTCACCCAAGGTCACGTGTCCATAGAAGTCCAGGGTCCTGGCCAGCCTGGGAAGAGCTGGAATGGGGGCAGGGGCCTGCCCTGGGGGACTCCAGGCCCACAGCCCAGGATGGGGGTGGGGACAAAGAGGGGGCTTTCCAGACTGGAAAGGGGAGGAGACGCTGTGTCCCTGACACTGGCAGGTAGGGGCTGGCGCCTGCTCCAGGAAGGACAAGGCACTCGTCCAGAGGCACTGTCCTCCCCCACCCCCACCCTTTGAGCAGCCCTGGGGGCCAGGCCTGCAGGTCCAGTTCCTTCCCCTTCTGCTTCAGTTCCTCTGAGCTGGAGAGACCGAATGCCAGTCAGCATTATCAGACTTCCCCAAGCTCTGGCCTGCTCCCCATTCAGCCGAGCTGCTGCCCTATCACTTCCCTTCACCCTGGCTGGACCCTTGCTTGGTCCCGGACGTGGCAGGACAGGGACCGACTCACACTCAGCATCTGAAAGCCTCAGGCCGGTGCCATTCTGGAAGGCTCTGAGATGGGTGTCGTGGAAGGAAGAGCATGTGGGAACTACTGGCTGGGTCTGCTGCCCCATGCCATCCTGGGGGCCTTCCACCACCCTGCTATCTCCATCCTGTTTCACTTCTGGGCACCTGGGGCTGCTGGCCTCCTCCAGCTCCTGCCCTCGGCAAGGACCAGACGGCTACTGGGGTGAAGCAGGGAGCTGGCAGCAGGCTGATGGTGGAGACAGAGGCAGGGAGCACTAGAGAGGGGGCAGTTGGCATCTTTGGGGCTCTCCAGCCCCTGAAAAACCTCTGAGCTGTGGTGGGGCTTTGCGCAATACCCAAGGCAGGAAGGGAGACTGTAGGATCTGGTGGGGACCATCTGGTATGGACAGAGCCACCAGGCCTGACTCCCCGCTATCAGGCACCAGGTCCTGACCAGAGCCAGCAGCTGTGGTTGGCCCACGTCCCTTTGGCAACCCCGACATTTAGGGAGATGGCCTCGGGGCCCCACCCTGGCATCTCTTCCTTGGCAGGGGGACCGCAGAGGAGCCACGCCCTGCCTTCCGGCCTTACTTTAGCCTACCTCTTCTCCCTGGGGCGGGCACCCAGAAGGTGGTAGAAGCATGCGGAAAGGAGCTGATCCTGCTTCTGGCTGCCAGCACCCCTGCCCTTCCTGTTTGCACGGCCAGGGCGGCCATGGCCCTTGCCACAGGGCTCACCCATACCCACAGACTGCTCCCTTCCTGGGTGGACTCAAGGAGCCTCCCCTTCCTCCGCCCTGGGTCCACCGCTCCTCATCACACATCTGCCACACGGGTTGGCAGCCCTGGGGCCCCTATCGTGGGAACCTGCAGGCTGGCAAATGGGGCCCTGAGATTTGGCCCAGAAACAGGTCAGAATGAAAGGCTCTCTGAGGAAAGAAAAGAAGGTGAGACAGTGTGAGTCAAATGGAAAGTGGGGGCCTCACCGTTCCATCTCACACTAGGCTCCATGACTCACTGGGACACTGGTGGGCACCAACTCCAGCTCCACCGCCCATGAATAGCTTGGAATCAGGAATACACTGTTACTCTGGGCGGCCACAGGGCCAGCCTCCCCAGGCAGGGCAGGGGAACTGGTGAAGAAACAGCAAACCCAGGGGCCCTGGCCCAGATAGAGGATGGGCTACTGGCCTGCTGACCGCCTCCTCTTGCAGAAACAGCATCCAGAGTGGTGGGGGGAGGCAGACCAGGCCTTAGCCCCCCAGGGGGGTTTGCCTCAGGAGAGAAGGCCAGAGCCCAGCTGTCCACCCGCCCCAGGTGTTATCTTGAGGGAAGCAAAGGCCGGATGGATGCCCAGGTGCCTGTGTGCCCGGAAGGCCCCCTGGTGGCTGTGCCCCAGAGCCACCTGTTTCCTGCAGTGGAGGAAGCCAAGGCTGCGGAGAGGAGTGTGCTTTATTGTCGACGATGACAAGATGAGGTGTGGGCGGGGGGTCAGGGAACGCCTTTGGAAGGTGGGTGCAGAGAGGGGCAGGGAGCTGGGGAGCTTCCAGGTTGGGGCTGTAGCAGAAGGGCTGCAGCAGGATGGGCAGCTCCCCTGCCTGGAGGACACGGGTGGAGGCCCGCCGTGTACCTGCTCCCTTCCTTCCCTTCCTGCCTAGGCCCAGCCCAGTGGGCATATTCATGTCCTCATGCAAGAGAGGCTGGCGGGACCTCTGTGCCCTGAGCCTGACTTGGGCTCGGCTCTCTCTGTTCCACACACCTGCTCTGGTGGGCGGCACAGCTGGGGTGGGGGTGTTGTAGGGTACTAGGAATTGGGCACCAGCCCAGCCAGTTACCCAGGCTGATGGGAGACTGTGTCTGACCTGTTGGAGAAGAGCACCCTCTCCTGGGGCCTGCAGAGGGACAGGTTCATACCTTGTAGGGTCTTGGCTAAGGGACTACTCTACCTTACGTTCTGTGCCAAGCGTGGCCTTCCCCCCATGGTCTCGCAGGCGTGGGGGCATCTCCAAACAGATGAGTGTCACCTCAGGGTCTATGTTGGGCTGCAGGAATGTTACCCTTTGTCACCTATGCTCAGGATGCCAAACCAGGGAAGGTTTGCTAAGGGGCTGAAGTACAGGCGGGCCCTGAGAGCAGAGACCAGATCAGCCTTTTGTGCCAAGGAGGTGGCTCATGGGCAGGGGCTTGGACAGCAGCAGGAGCAGCAGCAGGGGGCTCTGAGGCTATAGGTGGTGGGGAGGAAGGTCATGGGCCCCCCCGCAGGACTGGGGTCTCCAGAGTCCCTGTGAAGACAGGGCTTGCCTGGATGCCAGGGCCCAGCCTCGGGGCCGCCCACTGTATGTGGGACCTGTGTGAGGAAACAGGGACTGGCTCTAAGCTAGCCAGAGGCCAAGGAAGCCAAAGGAGCCCGGTGGGGGGTGGGCTGCCAAGCTGAGCCAGGAGCCAGGCTGAGGGAGCACCCACTACCCAGAGGAACCCACCCCACCCTGCATCCTCTGGCCTGGACATTCCCATTCCTGTCTCATTGCAGCTGCTCCAGAGGGAGACCCTCCTGCCTGAGGCCCTGGGGACTAGGCATAGAGGCTCCTGGGGGCAGGCTGGGGGCCTTGGCGACTACTCTCTGCCCAGGTCACTCCACAGGAGGTGGGCAAGACCCCAGATGTCAGGGGAACCTCCTGGCCCTAGGCGTGTGGGTGCCAGCCGGCCAGCCAGACTGCCTGAGTCGTCTTGAGTGAGGCTGAACAGCTCCACACCCCACGTCCTCCATAGATGCCTTCCGGATGGCACAGAGCAGGTGCCAGTGGATACACAATCCTTGGCACCCTGCCCTCGCCTCCCACATGTTCCTAGCTCCTCTGCCTTCTGCTGTCTCCCACACTGCTGCACAAAAGGGAAACTGAGGCTCCCAGCTGAGAGCCAGCCCAAGGCCACAGCCCGGGATTCAGGGTGGATGATCCCTGGTCCTAAAGATATCTTGCTTTAGGACAAGCCACTCGCTCCCTGCTAGGGCAAACCCATTTCCCCAGCGCAGCCCCCCATCTCTGCTTAGGAACCCACCTGTCCCAAATGGGCCTCGTTTTCCCCTTTCCGACCTACCCCCCCCCATCTACCCAGGGGCCAGAAGTTCAGTATTCCCTGAACACCCATTCCCAGAAACCAGTATGGGGCTTCTGAATCCAACCCGTGCCCTTCCCAGCCTCAGGTGGCAGACATGTCCATCCCTGCCCTGGATCCACAGCAGGCCCCACTGCTCCCTGGGCCCCAGAAATCCCTCCCCACCCAGCCTCTGCACCTTGGATCCTGTAGTGCAACGCCCTGCTCTGCGCCTTCATCTGAAGGGCACTCTTCCTTCCAGCAGCCTCCTTGCTCCAGGGTGGGTGGCAGGGGTGGGCCAAGACCCAGCTCCTGACATTCGGGGTCCCCACCACCTGTCTCTTTAGCTGGCCCACACTGGCCCTCAGATCCCTCTGCCTGCCATGCCCCCCTACCCCCCCACACACATGCTGCAAGAACCCAGGGGCCTCTGTGGTTCCTGGCACAAACCCACACTCAGAGCCTGCATCCTGTTCCTTCCTGCCTTCTAGCCCAGGTGGACAATAGCAGAAATGGAGTCTGGGTGCCTACAGCCAAGTGTCTGTGGGTCCCCACTCCCCTCACAGCCCTGCTCTTTTTAGCATAGGTGGAATGGGAGCTTTGGAGGAGTGACACCAACACCAGACCAGCCTGGCCATATACTTTACTTCTCCCTTCCCTACTTGAGACAGAGGTATCAGTAGGGGAGAGGCCTACAGGAGGAAAGGATAGGGGTGATCTGTGTTGGTAGAAAAATGAAGTCTCTTCCCCAGCAGGGGGAGAGAAGGTCCTTCCCAGCAGAAGCAGGGCACA